GAAAAAAGACAAAAAGGAAAAAAAAAAAAAAAAAAAAGAAAATGATTCCATTTCTGGAGGTGGGTGGTATTAGAGTGGGATGAGGATTCGGGCAGATGTGATAAACATTATTTTAGCTTTGGTGACCCTTTCTCGTGGAAAGGGACAACACTGGTAAAGGACAGAAACAGAGAAAATGCTGATACCAGACACTGCTTGTATGCAGGCCCAGCAGGCCCTGGCCTCCATGGAGCTATTTAAGGGGACCCTACAATACCTGCTATAAATAAAAATAACTTTATTAATGCCTGAATGTTTGTCATTGGGCGTTATATCTCCAGAAGACATGTTTCTTTTTTCAGAAGACACTTTTAAAAAGTATAAATATTGTTTGAGAAGATTAAAGAAGAAACCATTCTCACCCACCAGTGCACATGGGGGTGGTGGGGTGGGGTGTGGAAAGGATGGGAATTTGGAAGATGAGACCCAATCCAGTAAGGAAGGACAGTCAGCCTGAGGTACCAGGAAGCCTCTTTCTCTGAACCTGCTAAATTTTGCCTCTGTCTGAGCTCTGGGGTTCCAGATCCTTCTCTGCAGGTCTAGGCAGGAAGACAGGGGCAAGCCGAGCTGTGCAGCCCCAGGAGGAAGAAGGTGTTGGCCCCTTGGCAGGAAGAGGAAGTCGGGGCCCTGCTGTGAGGCTGACTCACCCCACACCCACTCATTTTGGGGCTGCATCTACCATTTGTTTATTTGAGGATGGAAGAAGAGGGGAAATGGGAGAAGAGTTGCCTGAGAGGGCAGATGAACCCGTTGTGCAGAGGTCTAGATTGATTGACCTCAATCCGGGAAAAAAACAGGTGCCCTTTTTTTCTTCCTGCCCCTAAACGTGTTTCATTTCTATTCTATAATATCAGGTGAATCTCAAGGAAAAGCTGGCATGGCCCAGAATGACTGTCATTTAATGCAAGAAAAACATAGCATAAACTGAGTTTTCAGTCCTTTCCTCCCACCCCATCCAGTTGTTTCCATCCCTCCCCTGTGGAGACAACACAGCGTGGTGTTTGAGTCTACAGTGTGCAGCCAGACTGCCAGGTTCAGATCTTGACTCTGCTGCTTCCTAGCTGTGGGCTTGGGCAAGTTATTTGACCTTTCTGTGCCTCAGTTCCCTTATGTGTACAATTGGGTTAATAATACCCTTGCAGTATTGTTGTGACAAATATATGATTTCATACTTGTGCAGTGCCTGTCTGCAACAATACCTGGCAAGTATTAGCCATTACAAAGGTCGATGTAATTATTCTGCGTTGCAGATAAGGGAGTTGTTGGTAACCTGCCAAGGGAGAATCTGAGGTTGAGAAAGGGTTAGATACCCTCGTTGGTGCTGTGCCCACAAAATCCCAAAGCCTTGTTTTTAAAAGATAAGTTTTCTCTGTGATCTCTCTTCTTTTCTAAATATAGGGTAGGATTTTAAATGATGAAACTTCAGCAGGCTGTCTCCTTAGGGGGTTCCAAGAAACATGAGCTGTTAGCCTTGGATTACAGTAAATCACCTTCTATTAAGTTCTGGTTCTGGTTAGTCAGGCAGCTGTTCCATTTGCTAAAAACAAATATGTTTGCCTTTCTACTTGACCTGTGAATGACAGGATTATCTGTTTTCCAAAGTGCCTCTGGCTTAATTAGTAAAAGTGGTTTTGGTCTTGGGGTCCTGGGTCTTGGTCCTAGGATCCACACTAGCTCCCATTACAAGTTTTTAAGCCTCAACTGAGTATGGCTCATGGTGAGGAGAGGACAAAGTCCCCGATGCTCTGGTCTATAAGATGGGAAGAGGAAGAATGTGTTCACTTTAGAGTTGAGATTAGAGGTGTAAAGTGCTTTGGATTTCTGTGGGAGAGATACTAGATCGGTTCCAAGTAGTTTATCATGTATAACAAGTTGTCTTTCCATGACCAAAGGGAAAATAGACGTCAGAGTTTAGACAGGGTTAAAAAAAAAAAAGCCAGCTAAAGGCCCCAACCCTGCACCTGGGGTTAGTGGTCACGAGCAGTGATGCAGTCTCTCCCTCAAGCAAGTTTCAGGATAACAGAGCTTTAAAAAATAGATAAATGAATAAATACACTTAAGGGGACATCTGCTGCCACTCTCTTCAGCTGCAATGTCAGATGTCTATCTCCTTGGAAAATTCCAAAAAAAGACTAAATCTTAGAGCCAGGGAAATTTTAAAAAATCTGAGCCACATCTCTGGCTTCATGCGTTTTAGTCCTGCTGCGTGAGTGGTGGGAAGAGCATGTGAACTGCCATCCTGGCAACTGCCTCCCTCCCGGCCTCAGTTTCCTCGGTTGCCAAACCTCAGGACTGAACTTACAGCCGGTCGCGAAGGTCCTTCCAGCTCTGACACTCCCGCCGAGAACAGATTTTCCCGGACGTTTCGCTCACAGCCCGCAGGGGATACTGAGCCGGGGACAGTGCAAAGCGAGACAAGGCGGGCGACAGACGCTGCTCCCACCCCGGCGGGAGGAGACGGCGAGGACAGGAAGGGAGAGGGGCCGTGGGGTTCCCCCGCAGCCCTGGGGGAGCCGCCGCGGGGACCCCACGGACGGGGCGCGGGCGCGCGCGGGGACTCACCTGGGTCTCCTCCTCGGAGAGGCCGGCCTCGGCGGCGATGAGGCACAGCGTGGTGGGGTCCGGGTGCTTGTTCACCTTGTTGAAGTTGTACTCCAGGATCTCCAGCTGGTCCTCCGTGGGGCCGCTCGCGCTCTCCGCCGACATGGTCCCGGGCTAGGAGGGAGGCGGCGGTGAGCGGGGCGGGGGGACGCGGGAGGCACCCTCGTCCCCGCGCCGTCCCCGGGCCGTCCCCGCGCCGCCCTCCGACTAGGTGATCCTACGCGGGGCTGCGCGTCCTCCCGCCTCCGAGGTCTCCCGGGACTTTTCGCGGCAACCGGCCCCGCCCTGGTCTGGGACGGTGGCGAGAGACGCGACGCCGCGCGCCCTCCCCGCCCTCCCGCTCCAAGCGCGGAGGTGATCTTGAAGAATCGCTTGAAAAACCTCCTCCCGGGAGGGGGCGCGCCCGGGGACAGACTCGCCGGATCGCGAGCGCGGGTCACCCCGCCGCCCCCCAGGCCGCGTCGCCTGGGAGGGCCGCGCACCCACACTCCGTCCAGCGAAACTACCCACAGGACAGAAGTTACTGCTCCAAGTTGGGGGGACGGGGACGGCGCTCCTAACGTCTTTCCATTTTACAGAGGTGGAGACAGGCGCACAGAGAAGTGGTTTAAGGCGGGGGACGGAGTCACAGCAGACACCCCCCAGCCGGAGGGCTTGTGCGCGCCGCTCCGCACCCCGCGACCTCCTCCTTCAACCCCCGACCCGCTTATTCTCAGTGAGGCCGGGAGTCGCAGGCCTGCAGTCACCGGGCCGTGATCCACAGCACGCAGGGAAGAGCCCTGTGCACTGCCTGCACCCCGAGTGGGGATCCCAAGATGGAGCCAAAACCCAGCAGACGAGGATCAAAACCACGGCCTTTAAAACCTCGGGCCTCCCCTGCGGTTGTACTAAAATTTACTATACAGTGGGGGAAATGGGCGCATCACAAGCATCGCAGTCTCCTGTACCTTCTTACTTTAGAGCGAGACATTGCTCTAGCAGGGTTGGGGCAACATGACTTTCTCCTGCATTCTCTCCATACCTAGCAGACTCTGAACTGGGACAAAGAAAACTGGCAGGTGTGGCCCCTCAGCTCCCTCAATTAAGATATATCGACATATAGAAAGTTAGAGTCTTCAAAATAGTCTTGGCCATGGATTTGGTACAGAGCTGTCGGGACTTGACTGGTGCTGACAGTAAAAGACGAGCATAAGTATGGGAATCACACTGGTTTGTTGTTTTAACATACAATTGCAAAATTATCCGGCACAATCCTGAGCAAGTTTTGATGTGGTTTGTGCCTGAGGATGAGCCACACTCCACTCATCTGCCTGCGTAATGTACCCGATGCTGTTACCACTTTTCTACTCCGCCCTGCCTCTTCTGGGTACACTTGAAGGGACTTTCAGGCAGGACGAGAAGCCATTCTACTGTGAGTGTTGGGCTCAAGGTACTTGCCGATTTATCCTGAAATCCTGTGTTTTTAGGAGATTCTGTGCCCGCACTCCTAAAAATCTGCAGCGGTGATTCCTGTCACAGTGCTGAGATGGGTGGGGGTTAAGCCAGTTCAGAAACATCTCCTCTCCTGTTTGCACCATTCCTTCTTTCTTTGACACAAACTTCAGAGCTGGAAAAAACCTTGGAAATGACCTCCTTCAGTCCTCTCCTGTGCAGCCCAGGGGAATGTGGCATAGGAAGACTCACTTTCCCAATTTTGCACCTTGGAATGCAAAGCCTTAGCTTCGGTCTCAGTCCCGTGCTCCAATAGACCCTTCTCAGCAGGCCAGTCTGTCTTCAGTTTAGTAGGAAAAATCAGGAGGCAGGAGTCTAAATGCAGGCAGGGACTTGTTGCCATTGTGAGTGGGCATGGACTGTCCCAGTGGGACACCAATTCCAGCCGAAACTGCCCACTGAAACCACCCACCACTGCTCATTTTGCCTAAAAGAACACAGAAGATAAAAGATTACTGCCTCTGATTTTATTTCTTGCCCTAGAAAGATTCCTTCTAATTCCATTTAATACAGTTGTGCTGGCTTTTCCTTGAAAATCTTTGCTGCTTTGTAGAATCCTCAGTCCTTCTGAAATATTAGGTTTCTAAATTGGGCTCAGATTCAAGGATTCTTGTGCATATACTTTCCCCTCTGTTTTGTTATTTAATTGCTGTTATATAACTCAAGGGAGGCTGATGTTCTTACATTTAATCAAATGCATTTTATTTTATTAGATTTCTGTGGCTTCCTGTTACAGGACTTTGTATGAGGTTTCGTGGGGAGGTCCAGGTTTACTTTAAAGGACTCCTCGGGTTAATTGGCCAAGGGCCATTGCCTTGGTTGGCTGCTAAGGAGACCTGTGGGAGGAACATGTGAAAGCACATACTTCTCCAAGGTACACCAAACAAACCTGTCTTCTAGAAATGAGGGTGAAAGATCTCTACAGCCAAATGTATCTGTTATTTCTCTGAAAAGCTCAATCTGTTACTTCAGCCCTCTTTGGGTGACAAATGTTTGCTGTTGCTTTGTTTCTTTCTCTCTCCCCTCCCTCTTTCTTCTTAAAGGAGCCGTATAAATCAGACTGCCCTGGTAACCTTGGCCTTATAAAGCTTCTCAACTGTTTACAGTAAGGAAACAGTTGAGAAGTTTCTCTGAAGGTAGTCTAAACAATTTCAGATAAAAAGAACTAAAAATATTTTAAAGCTACTTAAACTTTAATCTTAGGACAAGTTTTATTGTTGTGGTTATCCATAGCTTATGAAACATTCAAAGAGTAATTTGTCCTGTGGTTATATATTTTTGTGTGGTCGGGGGCAGACATTGCATAAACGTTTTTAAAGGTTAAATGAAAATTGCTGGCTTTTCTCTAAATGAATTCTAATGCCTGGGTAGTCAGTTGTGTCAGTCTGACAGCTTTACTTTTGTCCCCTAATCCTGCAGTCATTTATTTTTAAGGTACCTACCTATATAAACCAGGCTGGCCTGTTGCTTGGTCGATTAGAGAGCAGCCTTATAACACCAAGGTCATGGGTTTGGATCCCCATATGGTCTAGTCGCCAAAAAACTAAAGTACAATAAACTAGCTCATAGAAAGTGCTATAAACTGGTAACCAAAAAATTGCTCACATTTGCCAGCTCCTCCTCCCCCTCCCAGCCGTTCTGACTGCTTTGTAATGCCGCTAGTATCAAACCAAGAGAAGAAGGTAATCAGCAGCAGACACGCCCCGGACACCAGAGACCCATGTGAGCTGACCAAAGGGCAAAAAAGCCAGTGGATCATTCCTGAGGGCCTTCTCCCAATATTCTTTAGCTTGTATTTCTTTCTTTTGTTTTTTTTTTAAAGATGACCGGTAAGGGGATCTCAACCCTTGACTTGGTGTTGTCAGCACCACGCTCACCCAGTGAGCTAACTGGCCATCCCTATATGGGATCTGAACCCGTGGCCTTGGTGTTATCAGCACCGCTCTCTCCCGAGTGAGCCACAGGCCTGCCCTAGTGTGTATTTCTTTTACTTTCACTGTGAACTTCTTAAAAGCAATGGGCTTTTGAAACATTTTGTATTTTCCTAAGTGAGGAAAATGACATGTGGCTACTTCCCCAAGAGAAGCTGTGGGTCATTGAAAGGGGATGAGGTCTTCCCACTCATCACCCACTGAACTACTCTGGAGGGGAGGTAGGAAGGGGCCTATCGACCGAGCTGTCAGTGTCTCTCAGAAATTGACAAATAGGAGTGGAGTATTGATCTGCCTCTCCAGGCTAGCACAAAGGCTGGTGAGGGAGAGAGGGGAGCTGGGGAGGGTTGTTCTTTTAAATATAGATCTGGTGCTTAGTGTCCTTAAGCTAAGAGCAGTAGTTCTCAAGCCTGAATGGACCTCAGAGTTACCTATGGAAATGTCCAAGCCCATCACAGACCTTCTGAATTAAAACTGTATTTAGAATGGGAGAGACACAAAAAGTATTTCAGCTCTTATAAGATTATGCCATATAATAATTAAAACTGACTTAAATGTTTAGAAATTCTTATGCCTTATAACCTGCTCCGATGCTGTGTATCATCTTAACATTTGAGTAGATGGTAGGTTGAGGTAGTTTTAAAGGAATAAGCTTTTTAAAAGTACACGTTGGAATGAACAGTTTAAACATTATGCTATTAATCTTTTGCACATATGGTCAGGAATGGGGAAAACTGTCTTTAAAATGATAAATTAGCAAGAGAAAAGAGCTATTTTCCTATGCTTTCAAAAATTCAGAAATAAAAAAATCTTTTAAAAAATCTTTCAGAAAAATGTGTTCTTGTGTTGAGTTCAGAGTTTAAGAAAAGCAAATCACCAAAAGAAAAATTCCTTCCACGCCATCACACACATATCTAGTAATTGACTTAGAGGCCAAGTTACAGTGGAAAAGACTTGTAACCTTGAGCGTGCTTGTACTTCTCTAATTTCTTAAAATTTTCCAGTGAGAAAAATGCTAAAATTTAAGTTATTTATATAGACAACATATTTAGTAGAACTTAAAACTAAACATTAGACTCTGACTACATCATATACACACAAGTGTCACTGCTGTCTTCAGAAAAACAAGATTCCAAATCTAAATAGGAAAATACATTTTAAAATGCTATATTGATTCCAACTTTACTGGAAAAAAACTGGAGGAAAATACAACAAAATGTGAGCAGTGGTTATATCTAGATTGTGTGACTATGAGCAACCTAAAAAGTTTTCTTCTTTATATTTTTTGCTTTTAAAATGTTCCATAATAAGAATTTATTACTTTGAAATTAGAAAAAAAAATTTTCTTGGAAAAAACAATGACAAAAATATATCCTTGATCAGACTAGTGGTCCACCTTGCCTAGAGTTTTCTTTGATTATTGATACCAAATAGCATTTTCAGGAAAAGTATAGGGGTTGTTTTTTTTTTGTCTTTTGTCTTTTTCCGTGTCTGGCAACGGATCGCAACCCTCAGTGTTGCCCCCGTACCGGACTGGGGACCGGCAACGGGATTGAAACCCTCGGTGTTGCCCCCGCGCCTCGCTCAGCCAGTGAGCGGGAACCGGTCTGTATGTGGGATCCGAACCCTTGGGCAGGAGCGCCGCCGCGCTTCCCAAGTGGTGCACTATCCAGTGCGCCACCGGGCCGGCCC